GTTGATTCCTCCCAAGTCACATGCGTTTCCAATTCGGTTTTATATTTTTTTGCCCGTTTTTGTCAGGTGCGTTGCGATATGTATTGACCTTGTTCGCAGTAATTTTCGTGCGACTAGTGTGGTTGGACGACAAATTCGCGCGAGAGCTGCGCCAGTTACTGTCAGTCGTATTGTAGCATCCCCTGACAGAACAGTAATTTTTGTGGCGGAGGTGTACATACAGTAACAACAGAGGCTAAAAAACGACGAGATAGCATGCACCTAAATAGCGTGCCTAGACTAAGCTGCATGCACCTGAAAATGTCCGTTTTAAAAAAGAACAGACCAGTCAGTAACTTGCGAAGCCACCGCCAACTCAGCCATTCGCATGGCGGTCTTGCATGACGTGTCTTTCGCAGGTTCTGGCAAGTGGAACCGAGTTCAGAACAACGGTATTTAACCGAGACGCCCGACACAGGAAGTTGTGTAACGTGCAGGTTTACGTTAATGTATCTGTACATGCGGACGACAGGCACGACCGAATGGTTAAATAACTCTAGCCAATCTAGTATCTCCACGCTCAACCCCACAAGCCTCCATTTCCCCAATGAGTGAGTCGAAACTCAGTGCCGAACCTGTTCGCGCAAGAACGACTTTCCACTTTTTTTTTTTTTTTTTTTTGATATCATATACATTACAAGAATGTAAAGACATCGGCAGTCGTAACTGTCATAGGGAGGGGAGCGCCACAATAACTAGTATCGCAGTTCCCCTCTAAGGCAGCTACGGTGGTTGATGTGTCATGCTGGGGTTGTCCCAGATTGAGCTGAAGCTGATCTTCCACGTCACCGCTGCCGCTGCCGCATCACCGTCGCCTCATCGGCCGCCAGGTGTGCCCAGTCCCCATCCAACGTCTGCCCCCTTTTCCGTGCTGCCACCACGCGCGCCAAACAGTATACTCTCGCATGCGCAACGAAGTGTATCACCGCCAGCCGAGCCACCTTTCCGGCCTGAAACGTCTCATTCCTCCACGCCGCGTTACACCTCGCCAGCCACACTTGGTGCAGAACAGTTGCAATCCACGTCCTTTCCGGAAAACCTGACTTCGTGCCCCTTTGCATGAAGAGCAGATCTTCGAGATCCTGCCACGCTAGCCCCGGGTTCATTGCCACCAACCCTCTCCTCAGCAAGTACACCACCGGCTGCACTGCGGGACAACCGAGGAGACAATGGTCTGGGGTTTCCTCGCCTCGGCAGTGCGGGCAGACCATCCCCATGAAAAACAGCCTCGAGCCCACTTGCAAGTTTCTACAGTGGAGTCTTAGAAGGACTTCACGTGCCCGCCGTGGCGTGGCGAGAGAGTCTCTCTGCGAGATGACCCTGTCCCATTCGATTTCTCTCCTCTGCCCTTCCCACCTTCTTTGATCCTCCTGCATGCCAGCCGAGCTAGCTAGCATCTTCCTTATCCCCCTTAGTGAAAGCAGCTCCCCTCCTTCGCACGCCTCTGATAGCAGCAGCTTCGTTCGCGCGTCTCCCATGGCCCCCAGGAATATATCGCCCTCCGTGAACATCGGCACTCCGCTTCGTAGGCTAAAGTCCATCGTGAGGTTCCCCGCGTAGGGCTTGAACCGTCTGCCGCCTTCTATGATACACAACCTCCCCACCACTTTGTCCCCCTTCGCCTCCTCGACCTGCCAGTAGGTGAAACTTCCGGTCGTGCCATTGTGCGTCCGTAGTAGCTTCACCGTGGCCACAACCTCCTCGCTTGTCAGTTTTGCTAACACCATCTCCCTCCAGCTCGCAGGTGCCGCTTTGAAAGCTTTCAGCGCCCATTTTGCTTTGTCCCTGTTCCCCAATTCCCTTGTCAGTTCTCCTATCCCCTTGAGCTCACACGCCCCATCCCAAGACTTCTTGATCAGGTCTCCCATGTGGATGCCCAGCAGCACCTCCGTTCCTTTCTGGTTCCCGAAGGGGCTTGCGCCTCTGAAGGGGATGTTTGAGTTGAACGCTAGGTGTTCCTGCTCCACCTCCCAACGGTTTGTTGGCGCGCGCGGTTTACATAACGGCGAGTCCCAGAACTTCTCCACTAACTCCTTCCAACGCGTACTTCCTCTCACCTAGTGATCCAGCAGCGATTTGTGGGCAAAGACGGTGTCTAGCCCCAGGGGCATATCGGTCGCCTTCTCCGCCAACCATTTCTTAACTGAGTTCGGCATCAGCATCAGTCGGCAGACGTTTCGGATGGCAATGCTGTCGACCCTCAACTCCGAGCATAGCAGCCCCAGCCCCCCATCCTCCCGAGGCGTGCAGGCCAGCTTATAGTTCCAGAGGATGAAGCGCTTCTCTTCTGCCGCTTCCCCTTTCGAGACGAAGGTGTGACACAATTTGTGGATCTTCTTCCATATGGCCTCCGGCGGTAGGTAGACCTGTGCCTGGAAGAGGAAGATCGGCACGATGTAGCTGTTGATTATCGACACTCTTGCCGATGTGGTCAGGTGCTTCATTTCCCACTTCGCTAACTCCCCCTCTGCTCTGTCCAACGCCTTATTCCAGGATGGGGTCGGGTCGCCATTCGGTGTGATCCAAATCCCCAGCAGACGCTCCGGATCATCTTTGTCCGCCCATTCGTACCGTACATCGTGTGGCGCCGGCTTCCCCCGGTTCTTCCCCAGCGGGAAGATCACCGTTTTCCCTTCGTTCACCTTCAATCCCGATTCTTCCCCGAAATCCGACAGCACCTTTGACGCCGTCTGGAGTTGCTCCGCCCCATGCAGCATGAGTGAGGTATCGTCAGCGTAGCCCAGGTATGCCAGCTTTCCCACGCCCCTCTTTTCGATCCCCAGCTTATTCCGGTTGATCTCTTGGCATAACGGCTCCACCGCGCAGAGGAACAGGTACGGCACCAGCGGACATCCTTGGCGCACCCCCTTTTCCACCGCTACCTTTTCCCCCGTCCACCCGTTAATGTGCAAGCACGTCCCTGCTTCTCTGTGCAGCCCCTCCGTCCAGGACACAAACTCCTCCGGTAGACCCAGCTTCCGCAACGTGTTGAAAAGGAAGTCGCGCGAGATCGATTCAAACGCCTTCTGGAAGTCGACCATTAGCAAAAACCAGTCCTCCTTCCCACTGGCTCCCGCTTCTATGGCGTCTGCCACCACTGCCACCGCGTCCGCCAGCTGACGACCAGGTATGAAACCATATTGATCTTCCGAGATGACCTCATGCAATACTTTCTTGAGCCTGCTTGCCATCACTTTCGCTACTATCTTGTACACGGTACTTAGGAGCGTTATCGGTCGGTAGTTCCCTAAGTCACCCTTGTCACCCTTTTTGTGCAGCAGGATGGTCACCGCTGTTGAGATACTCTGTGGCAGGTCTTCTCCCCTCGTGAACCTCCCCACCAGGTCCATCAGTATCGGTCCCAACAGGTCCCAGTTGTAATCGAAAAGCTCCTTGGGCAAGCCATCCGCTCCCGGAGACTTCCCCGGGGCGAGCTCACGAACTGCCTTCCGCACCTCATCCTCCGTCCAGGGTGCGCTTAGTGATCTCCTGCTCTCTTCTCCCAGCTGCCGCAGCATGGGGCGGTCATCCGTGACAGGTGCTGCGCCACCGCCAGGACAGCCAAACGCCTCCCGGAAGTGGTCCGTTGCTGCCGAGAGAACCTCCTTCACCCCTGAGAAGACAGTTCCGTTTCTTGACACTTCGCGGATCACTGTTTTTGCCTTGCGAGTTTTGATTTGCGCCGACAAGATACCCGATGCCACCTCCCCATCCAGTTCTGCTTCCACGCATGCCCAAGTCTGCAATTTTTCTCTGTGGCTTTTCTCGTACGCCTCCAGCAGCTCCTCCTTCCGGAGCAGGATCCGACCCGTTCGCTGGCAGTGCGGGTAGCGTGACACACGAACGCGGAGCCGTTCTACCTCCTTGGTAAGATGTAGCTTAGTCGCCGTCTCCCGTTTCCTCTCCTCCCTTGAGTATGCCCTCAGACAGGCGGTCAACCTCTCCAGCAGCCTGTCAACTGGTTCACCAGCGGATTCCTCGATGATCTTCTTGATAATTTTCCTGACACCCGGCTTATTTGCCTGCTCCGCTCGCAGCCTCCAGATGCCCGGCCCATTTTTAACCGCGCCTGCAGATTCCAGCACCACGCCTATTCCGCTCCAGTGGTCCGTCATCCCATTCGTGATTGCCACGTGCTTTGCTTCCGCCAGTCTACCCAGCAGCGGTTGTGATATCAGCGCCCTGTCAATCCTTGAGCTGGACCTTGTTGCTTTTGCGAAAAACGTGTATTCCCTTTTGTCCGGATGCATGTGTCTGAAAGCATCCCTCAGATCCGTGTTGCCCCAGCAGCTCAGGAGCCTTTGATTCTCTGCCGAGGAGCCGGAGTGTGAGGTGCGGTCCAAGTCCGGGTCCTCGACCACATTGAGGTCTCCCATCACCAGAACGTTCGGGAGCGCCGGCAGAGACTGCAGGAACGGTGTCAAGCTGTCCCTATAAAAGCTGCTCCTGTTGACCGCCTGCGGTGGGATGTAAGCCGCCACCAGCAAGAACTCCAGACTCCCCAGACGAACTACTACTGTAAGAAGCCTGCCGGAACTGTCAGTGAAGCTGCATGCGAACATCAGACCAGGTACGAAGCTCACTATTGCAACACCCCCCGCCGACTCCCCGGGGTCCATCCCACACACCGCAACCGCACTCGGACTGATTTGCGTCCAGAAGTTATGATCTGCCTGTAACCTGGTGTCTGTGATTATTGCCACGTCGGTTTTCTCCCTCATCCATTTACTGCACTTGTTTTGTTTCTCCACCCCGCCGAGTCCATTGATGTTGAACTCGCAGAAAGTGACCTTGTGGGCCTTATCCATTAATCAACAACTGAGAAGCCCCCTCGCATCCACGGGCTGTAAGGATACAGACAACTACCAGGCCAGGTGAGCCGCTGACAACAAGAACTACTACTCCGCCTACACAACTGCTGATGCGTCTGTCCCCAGAACTGGCTGTGACGCTGTTATATGCTACTTCGCAGGTTTCACAATGAACTCCTTCTTGAAGGCTTGCAGCTTCTGGGAGAACATGCTTGCGCGCGTTGCTGATCCTTCCTTCCGTAACCCCCCCTTGTAACGAGCAGAAGCGATGTGAGCCGACGCCTGCTCGAAACGGTTCCCCTGCGCCTTCTCGCAAACTGTCTGAACACAGACCCATTCCTCCCGCGCGCCTCCGGTGGAGGTGAGAATGACAGCGGGGTCTCGCATGATGCGCTTCAGCAGGTCTGAAGCTTTCAGGGACGCGGCTGTGGGGAAGGAGAAGCAGATAGCTGTCAGTAAGAGGCGAGAGAAAAAGAGCGTGCAGGAAATCGAACACCAGCAGCAGGTAAGACGTTACACCGCTTGTACCATTCATCTCGTGAACCTTTTTAACATTCAGGTTCCAGTTGTTGAGGTTCTCCTGCCTCGGCGCCACGTAATGATCGTGATAACTCGTCATGTGCTGGCCACCGCAGAACCCGCACTCCAGCGACGGGAAGTGAAGCAGGTATTTCTTCCCCGTAGACGGGTCTTCCACGAAATACCACCAGCGGTATTCATCGTCAGCGTGAGGAATAAACACACCACGAATGCGATCCGTATCCAAGCCGGATACTGGGTCCACCGTCCGATGAAAGCCAAAACCGCTGGCGAACGCGCTCTTCCCGCGCAAGACCAGCTTCGACACCATCAACAAGCGGCGAATCAGTTCCGCCGAAATCTCCGCCGGCACGCCTTTAACCACAACCTCCTTGGCCGTGGGGTTCAGCACACGCTCGCGCAGAAAGCGCGCGTCTTCCGGGTGCTGCCAGGTGAGGTCAATGAAATCGCCGTTGACACACTCGTGACGGATGACTTGGCTCCAGACAAAGTTCGCGTCCCGAACTTGGTTAAAGGTAACTTGCAGCCGTCCGTAGCGATCACCGGAGAAGTACATTGGCGAAAGATCTTGGTAAGTGGTGGTTAAGAGCACCTCAGGTGATAGCAACTCTTTCCAATCGTCCAACAAGGCAGCAATAGTCACAGCAGCACGCTTAACCTCCACCTTCCTGGAAATCGGCACCAACAAGGTTAGTGAAAAGCGCTTCAGAGCAAGAATACTGTTAAGCGAATCTGGCTCCAGGTGTTCATCAGAGGCGTCACTCAGGTAGCCGTCATCCTCGTCGTCTAGAACTTCTGCCGGCTGCGCGTCAGCACCATCATCTTCATTGTCGACCGCGTCATTCTCCGCACGCGCATCTTCCCCGGCGTCCTTTTCCACCCCGTCAGTCTTCTCCTTAGTGGAAGCAGCGTCCTGATCGCCAGCGACCGGCAGCTCTGGAAGAGCTTCGAAGGGACCGATCACAGTCGTTGAAGCTGGACTTGAGAGCGGCTTCCCGGAGTCAGCGGACTCCTTCACGGGTACATCAGGTACGTTGTTGTCGAGAGCATTGTCAACATTCTTCTCGCCGCTTTTCCCGTTGCGTCCCTTCACCATTGTGCGACGATGATTCAGGCTTTCCAGCCAGACTGAGGCTGAGAAATAAGTCGATCTGAGCACGTACTGATAGCCATGCCAAACTTTATGCTTCTTGTGTTTGAACGCAAAACGCTACAGGTCCAAGCCAGTCGAAACCGTTGATGACTTCGAGATGAGCGCCAGGCCTTGATAACTGTTGTTGTTTGAAAAGCAGGAACCTTGAGAGTAGGAGACAAAGGGTTTGCCACGAGCTGATGACGTAGCAAGCCGTAGGCCGCGATGTAATCCATGGAGTAGCTCACATTGCCTTGGTAATAACGAGCTGAAACTGAACATGAAGTTAGGTGTACCACTGGCGATAGCCTGGAACTCAAAAAAGAGGTGCTTAGGCTCCCGTAATGAACACTAAGATTACACCCTTGTGTAGAGCTTAAAGCCGCGCATCGCCTGATCACTTCAATGTCAGAAACAGGCACGAAATTGGTACACATTGGCCGAGTTAAAACCCGAAGCCTGAATTACAAAATATGAGTCAACGCTTGGTTTGGTAGTTCTGAGGTTCGGGCAATATGAGGTGCGGAGAAATTGCGAAAGGTGGCAGGTTAGCGAAACCTGATGCGACTCTCCTGTGAGGCAAACAGTTCGCAGGCAACCCGCATACCAACCTCCGAGAGCTGGATCAGAGTAAGAAAACTCGTCCAACAGAACAAGCTAAAATACTCATTCACTCGCGTTAGAATCCGAACAGCGCACACCAGCTAGGTTTTAGAATGAGCACTTTTTCAGACAACCGGAATTAGTAGGTGCAGCTTGTATACGCAATCGAAGCACGTAGAAAATGGGCGTGAGGAGATGAGAAATTAGCGCTTTGCCTACCTCGCGACCCTCGCCCATGCTTTCTCCGCCCACCGCCCTCGCCCCGCCCGTCGCCCTCGCCGCCTCGCCGCCCGTCGACCTCGGTTCCCTTGCCCATCGCCCTCGCTTCCCCCGCCCGTCGCCCTCGCTTTCCCCGCCTACACCCTCGCCTTGCCTGTCGGCCTCGCCGCTTCCCCGCCCGTCGCCCTCGCTTCCGCCCGTCGCCCTCCCTTCCGCCCGCCGCCCTTCCTTCCCCTCGTCGCGCTCCCTTCCGCCCGTCGCCCTCCCTTCGTCTCGTAGCCCTCCCTTCCTCCCGTTGCCTTCCCTTCCGCCCGCCGCCCTTCCTTTCCCTCGTCGCGTTCCTTTCCGCCCGTTGCCCCCCTTCGTCTCGTCGCCCTCCTTCCCGCTCGTCCCCTCGCAATCTCCGTCTCTCTCTTCTCCCGTCGCCCTCGCTTTCCCCGTCGCCCTCCCATCCACTCCTCGTTGTTCTCGCCATCCCTCCCCTTTCCCTTCTCATCTCGCACACTTGTCACGGCCCCTTTCTCAACCCGCACATGCACCCCTTCCTTTCCCGAATAATCGCCTTCACCCCCAGACTGCATACCTCACTCCCTTTTTCCCCCATCAATCGCCCTGCTCCCCACCGTCCTCCCCACAGCTCTCTCCCCGGCATCTCCTCCGCTCCCCACGTCCTCTTCCCTGCTTCCCCCCATCCCCTTCCGTGCTTCCCCCCATCCCCTTCCGTGCTTCCCCCCATCCCCTCCGTGCTTCCCCCCATCCCCTTCCCTGCTTCAGCCCATCCCCTTCCCTGCTTCCTCCCGTCCCCTCCCCTGCTTCCCCCCATCCCCTTCCGTGCTTCCCCCCATCCCCTTCCGTGCTTCCCCCATCCCCTTCCGTGCTTCCCCCCATCCCCTTCCCTGCTTCAGCCCATCCCCTTCCCTGCTTCCTCCCGTCCCCTCCCCTGCTTCCCCCCATCCCCTTCCGTGCTTCCCCCCATCCCCTTCCGTGCTTCCCCCATCCCCTTCCGTGCTTCCCCCCATCCCCTTCCCTGCTTCAGCCCATCCCCTTCCCTGCTTCCTCCCGTCCCCTCCCCTGCTTCCCCCCATCCCCTTCCGTGCTTCCCCCCATCCCCTTCCGTGCTTCCCCCATCCCCTTCCGTGCTTCCCCCCATCCCCTTCCCTGCTTCAGCCCATCCCCTTCCCTGCTTCCTCCCGTCCCCTCCCCTGCTTCCCCCCATCCCCTTCCGTGCTTCCCCCCATCCCCTTCCGTGCTTCCCCCATCCCCTTCCGTGCTTCCCCCCATCCCCTTCCCTGCTTCAGCCCATCCCCTTCCCTGCTTCCTCCCGTCCCCTCCCCTGCTTCCCCCCATCCCCTTCCGTGCTTCCCCCCATCCCCTTCCGTGCTTCCCCCATCCCCTTCCGTGCTTCCCCCCATCCCCTTCCCTGCTTCAGCCCATCCCCTTCCCTGCTTCCTCCCGTCCCCTCCCCTGCTTCCCCCCATCCCCTTCCGTGCTTCTCCCCGTCCCCTTCCCTGCTTCCTCCCGTCCCCTCCCCTGCTTCCCCCCATCCCCTTCTGTGCTTCCCCCCATCCCCTTCCGTGCTTCCCCCCATCCCCTTCCGTGCTTCCCCCCATCCCCTTCCGTGCTTCAGCCCATCCCCTTCCCTGCTTCCTCCCGTCCCCTCCCCTGCTTCCCCCCATCCCCTTCCGTGCTTCCCCCCGTCCCCTTCCCTGCTTCCTCCCGTCCCCTTCCCTGCTTCCTCCCGTCCCCTCCCCTGCTTCCCCCCATCCCCTTCCGTGCTTCCCCCTGTCAGAAACAAGAAGTGATTGAACTATGAAAGATAGGAGTACAAGTATGAAACCCTAGAGTTGTGTACCCCCTAAAGGCTAACCCACAATAGCCTACACAGCAATAACATATATATAATGTTTGACACACCCCCACAGGCAAAGTAGGGAGAGCAAGGGGTCACAAGACCAGTCAAGAAAGGCAAAGCAAGCTCAGGGTGGATCACAACGTCACCACACACTCTGAGCACAAGCAAAGGACCACAAGGCCAGTTCACATGCAGAGGCATATATGTAGCACAAACATCACAGTGATCTATATCTAGCAAGCATGCAGGTATATATATATAGATCACAGTATAGGCAGAGTCTACAACAAGTGAGGAAAAGTGGGCACAAGCCCTAGCAAAGTGCAGAAACGCTGATGATCACCAGACTGAAGTGCCTTGGTGAATATATCAGCAGTGTTGGCCTGAGTGGCCACGTAACGCAGACGAAGCTGACCACGCTGCTGCAACTCTCGAGCCAGAAAGTAACGTAGAGCGATGTGCTTCGTCCTGTGCTCCAGTCTGTGCTCCTCATACAAGGCAATAGCAGCCTTGTTGTCGACGTACAGCACTGGAGGAGAACGAGGCCGCTCTCCCAGGTCGGTCAGCAGGTAGGTGAGCCAGCGTAACTCCTGTGCAGCCATGGCTGTGGCGTAGATCTCAGCCTCACAACTGGAGCTGAGAACTGAAGACGAACGAGTAGAACGCCACGAAACTGAGCCAGAGCCAAGGCTGAAGGTGTAACCCTGTGACGACCGCCGAGTAGCCTGGTCGTCAACCCAAGAAGCGTGTGAGTGCCCAGTGAGAACAACTGAGCTCCCTCCTCCAAGCACGAGCCACATGCCCGATGTACTGCACAAGTAGAGCAATACCCTCTTTGCAACATCCCAGTGCACCTTTCGGTGCCTGCCAGGAGCCACATAGCGGGCCAGAAGGCCAAGAGGGTATGCTAGGTCAGGACGAGTGCAAGTCATCAGGTACATGAGGCAACCAACTAGCTCTGGGTAAGGACCACTCGGCTCTACGGACTCATCCGAAGGCAGAGCTGAGAGCGAGTGACCTATAGCCAGAGGAGTGGCCTGTGCTGAGGACCAGGTGAAGCTTAAGCGCTGAAGGACCTGCTGCACCATGTGTGACTGAGTCAGTGTGATGGTGCGGCGTGCTCTGTCCCGGGTGATCTGCAAGCCAAGGTAGCTGCGCAGTTCACCCAGGTCTGTGCACGTGTGTCTCTTCTGTAGCTCCGACTTCACGTGGGCGAGAGCCTCAGTGTCAGCAGTGGCAAAGACCAAGTCGTCGACGTACACGAGGATGTAGAACGGTGGCAGCGAAGTGTCGGTGCGCAGAAACAGCGACGGGTCAGCAGTAGAAGGCGCGAACCCAAGTGCCGCAAGAGTAGTCCTCAGTGTGTCGTGCCACTCACGTGGCACCTGGCGGAGACCGTAGACCGGCCGCCAGAGGCTCCACTGGGTACCAGGAGGAAACGACCCAGTGAAGCCAGGAGGGCGGCGCAGCCAGATCTCCTCGTGCAGGCTGCCCTGCAAGAAAGCTGTGCTGAAGTCAAGAGAGTGAAGCTCGTAGTCACGCTGAGCAGCAACATGCAGTAGCACCCGAAGAGTGGTCATCTTCGGGGTGGGGGAGAAGGTCTGAAAGAAGTCTACTCCCTCTCGCTGACTGAAGCCTCGAGCAACGTAACGAGCCTTGAAGACAGGCGGAGAACCCGACGGCCGCTTCACCCTGAAAATCCACATGCCACTGACGATGTTCGCCCCAGGAGGGGGAACCTCGTCGACGTAAGTGCCAGTGGACTTCCAGGATGCCATCTCTGCGTCCATGGCTGACTGCCACTGAGAGGAGTACTCACCCGCGATCTCAGCACCCCCAGTCTCAGTACCCGAAGGCTCAGCACCCCCAGTCGCAGCACCTCCAGGCTCAGCACCCGTAGACTCCGCACCCCCAGACTCAGCACCCCCAGTCTCCGCACCCCCAGGCTCAGCACCCCCAGGCTCAGTGCCCCCAGACCCAGCACCACCAGGCTCAGCACGCTCAGCACCTCGCGCAGGACCAGAGTCAACAGCTACCTCGACAGGCTCGACCGGGTCTACCTGGGAAACACCTGAGGGAGCAGCACCCTGGGGAGGGAGGGGGTCTACCGACGGGACACCTGGGGTGAGGAAGAGCGGCGGGGGGGGGAGCGGGGCAGTGCGGTAGGGGAAGAGACGGTAAAAGGGTACCGACTCGTCAAAGGTGACGTCCTGAGAGGCGAAGACACGACGCGAGGTGGGGTGGTAAAACTGCCAGCCAGGCGCGTCAGGGACAAAGCCAAGGAAGACACAGGGAACGGCACGGGAGGAGAGCTTGTCCGCGGATGTATCGCGGACAAAGGCTCGACATCCCCAGACCCGGAACACCGACGCATCGCCAACCTCCCCCGTCCAACGCAGGGTAGGCGAGGTCTCCGGATCAGAGACACGGGGCCAGAGGTTGAGCTGATGCGCGGCGTACTGCACTGCAAACGACCACAGGAAATGGGGGGCAGCCGCATGGATCATGGAGGTACGAGCAACCTCCATGACGAGACCAATGCGGCGCTCAGCAACCCCATTCTGCTGCGGAGAGGCCGGGAGAGTGAACGTCTGGCGGATGCCGTGCTCCGCACAGTAGGCTGCCAAGAGGTCAGAGGAAAACTCGCCACCTCTGTCAGAGTGCAGACGTAGGACAGGAAAGTCCGACTGGAACCGCTGGCGGAGCTGGAGACGAGCAGCGCGGATCCAGGGGATCAAGACATCAGGGACCGGTGCGCTACGGAGGGCGTGCACGTGGGCGGCTGTAGCGGGCGGGCCGTGGCTGTGCGTGGGCCTGACTAGCGCGCGGGCGGCGCCCTAGTGGGGCGTCGCGGCGGCCTACGGGCGGGGCTGCGACGCTCTGGGCGGCGGTCGACGAGCGGCTAGGGGCTGCTCGTGGGCGGCGCCGGTCGCGCGGGCGGCTAGGGGTCGGCGCGCGCTCAGAAAAAGGCCGCGCGCGGGCTGCTAGCGGGCTACGCGCGCTAAAAAAAAAAGGGCCGCGCGCGGCACTAGCGACCTGCGCACGGGCAGCAGGAGGAAGAGAGGCGCACGAGGGCGCACTAGGAGAGAGGCGCTCAAGGGCGCTAAATCGATACAGCGCTCGAGGGCGCTTCTAGCGGTGGGCCCTTAGGTAAGCGGTCCTAGGACTAGGACCTAACCTCTGATACCATGTCAGAAACAAGAAGTGATTGAACTATGAAAGATAGGAGTACAAGTATGAAACCCTAGAGTTGTGTACCCCCTAAAGGCTAACCCACTATAGCCTACACAGCAATAACATATATATAATGTTTGACACCCCCCATCCCCTTCCGTGCTTCCCTCCATCCCCTTCCGTGCTTCCCCTCATATTTCCCATGCTCGACACCCTCGATCTCTGGGAAAATGCCCGTCGCACGTGCGGGCGCTGCACGTCGGCCAGCCTTTCTCATTCTGTTCTGCCCACCCTCTCCCGTTCTGTTCTGCCTCCATCTCTCATTCCTTCGCACTTTCCCTCATTCCTTCCCACCCTCTGTCATTCCGTACCACCCTAACTCATTTCGTCCCACCCTCTCTCTTTCCTTCCCACCCTCTCATTCCTTCCCACCTTCTGACATTCCTTCCTACCCTCATGCTCCCATTCTTCTCTCTCCCTCCTCCCTCACTCTCTTTCTCTCCTTGCACCCGTACTCTCTCTCTCCTTCCTCCTGCACTCTCACTCCTTCCTCCTGCACTCTCACTCTCCTTCCTCCTGCACTCTCTCCCTCCGTCCTCTCGCACTCTCACTCTCCTTCCCACCACCCTCAGCCCTCCTTCCCCACCCTCTGCCCTGTTCCCACCTGCCCTCCCCATCCCTGCCTTTTCCTCTCTGCTCCGCCCTGTCCTTCCCCAGCCCTTCTCAACCCTTCCCTTCCTTTTCATGCCCTGCCCTTCCCCCTCACTCCTCGCCTTCCGTCCTCTAGTTCCCATGCATGTCCGCTTGTGTGGATTCCCCTGCCGTTGTTCCCTTGCACCTCACACCACCTCCCCCATGTTCCTTCACACGAATCGTTCTGCCTACCCCACTCCCCTATTTTTCAGTGGTGAAGCAGAGGAGCAAGCTGAGGTGCATCTAGTCGAAGCTTTGCACCATACCACCACCTGTTTCTTGTGTGTCGTATGCATGCATGATACTGTATTTTTGTTGAAGAGATGGATCTCAAAGGCACAATACTGTAATGTACTTTTGTTTCTGCAGTGCAAGACATTTTTTCAAAACGCATGTACACTAGAGTGTCAGAAGGGTACAGAAAGGCATGTGCACGATACTTTTAATTGTACCCTTTCCAAGTCCTCGAAAAAAACATGAGGGGAACTGTATTCTCTACGAGAATGGCATGGGATGATGGGCCTCTGAGAGAGTTGCAGTACCAGAAAAATCATCGGTGTAGTCACTGCAATAGCCAGGGAGAGGGAGAGAATACGAGCGATGGGAAGGGGAAAGCAGGGAAAGAGGGGGAAGAGGGAAGCAGGGGAGAAGGGAAAGGGGGAGATAGGACGATGTGAGAGGGAAAGGGGATAGGAAGAGGGACCCATGAAGTTACGAACAGAGGAAACGAAGGACGGATGAATGGAGGAACAGAAGAAGGGATGCAGGGAGGAAGAAGTTTGATCCGGAAAACGAAAAGGGGGGAGGAGGGATAAGGAGAGGATCGATAGGGAAAGGATGGATGGGAAGAGGAGCGGATGGGTATTGAGAGGGATGGATCGCGGAGGTGGTGAAGAACGAACCTTTTGGCGAGGCGGAAGAGGGGAAGAAGCAGGGAGGAGAGGGGAAGAAGCAGGGAGCAGAGGGGAAGAAGCAGGGAGGAGAGGGGAAGAAGCAGGGAGGAGAGGGGAAGAAGCAGGGAGGAGAGGGGAAGAAGCAGGGAGGAGAGGGGAAGAAGCAGGGAGGAGAGGGGAAGAAGCAGGG